TAAAATACTGCAAAGCAGTGGTGGGATTCAAATTTTTTTACTACTGGTTCTGTGGGCATGGCTTGGTGGGCATGGCAGGGGAAGGATACTGTAAAATCTCCAGTCAGAGGTGGTATTTGCCAATTCTCCGAACTACTCAAAATTTCTGCTACCGATTCTCCAGAACCGGTCAGAATCTGCTGAATACCACCTCTGCTGTGAAGTGATATATAAGTCTGAGTGCTATTGCTATTGTTCATTCATCCATCCAACCCTTCTTCCCTCCATCCATCCTCCAAGTGGGTTTTGAATTCCTGGCCACTCCCTGAAGAGGTCCCTGCAATTTTCTTGGCACATTCTTGGAAGCATTTTGGCATTACCTTGTTTTTCCTAAGGTTCAAACAGAATGGCTGACCCAAGGTCACTGAACTGGCTTTGTGCCCAAGGAAGGAGTAGAACTCACAGTCCTCTAGCTTGAAGCCTTAAGGATTAAACCAAACTGACTTTCTTATAATACAAGTAGCCCTTTTATGACCTTTTTTATCCAATGGTTATTGATTTTGCTTCTCTGAAGCAAGCTAGGAATGTTGCAAATGTTGATCAAGTGACCCCAGGACACTGCAACCATCATAAATACAAGCTGGTTTCCGGATGCCCAAACTGCAATCATACAACCGCAGGGATGATGATGCATCAGTTGTAGGTGTGAGGACCAGTTGCATGTCACCTTTTTTAGCACCTTCATAACTTCAAAGGGTCATTAAACAACTGATCATTAGTCAAGGACTACCTGTATACTCTAGTTCAGCTAAAATAGATTTGGAAAGCTAATGGGACTTTGAACTGTGGGAATCCAGCAACAGTCTAGACATATTGGCTGAGTCAAGCCATCACTTTAAGATAGAATAATATTTACTTGTTTGGGCATTGCATGACATATGATAACAGCAATTATATTTTACTTAACCAAGAATTTGGTATGTAGTAAGAACCCAGGGTATATAATTTCCTTGACCCCACATTGGCACTTACACCAATTCACTGGCTATTGATGGAAGTTCCTTTTGGGTGGATGGATTAATTTGAATACTATGCATGACAACAATGTCAACTCATAAAACATTTTCTAAACATGTTTTATAGTTGTCAGACTGTTGTTTGATTCATATAATTAGTTTATTGTGACCTTTAGAATGTGTACTTTCATTCTTTTTAACATAACAAGAATTAGTTAAGCAGTCTTCCGGTTTGCGAGGCTTCGGCAGCGGCAGGGATTTGCGATCCAGCACAATCCCTGCCGAGCTCACTGCCAAGGTTCCCCCGATCCATTTGGATTTGGGGGATATAGCTGCCCTGCAGGGGCAGCTGAAGACAGGGGGGATCTGGAAAGGGGGTAGGGGGTGTCGCAGACCCCCTCCCCAGCCAGCAAAACCTCCTTTTCCCGAGGCGGAGGAGCGGCGGTCAGCAATGGCCGCCATGAAGAAACCTGCAAACGGATAAGATTGTGCAGGAGGAAGAAAATCGGGGAAATCGTGAGAGTTGTTTCTGGACCGGGATAAAGTTGCCAAGGGATAAGAAAGTTTCCTGGGGCTTGAAAATTGCTACAGAGAAGTTGCTACATTGTTTCCAGAGAGAGTTACAAGCTGTGTACAGAATTCTAAAAGGGAAAGTTTTTTTTTCTTCTTTCACTCTCCTTCCTAACGTGACAGTGGGTGGAATAACAAGAGAAATCTGAAAATCTAGGTAATTAAATACTGAAGAGATAAGGATTTCTGAATGATATTTTTTTTAAAAGACTTTAAAAAAATTTTTTTTGCTGTGAGTGGGAAGGGAGAGGGAAAAATTGGATTAGAATTTGAAAATAAGGAGAAGACTGCCTGGATTTTTAAAGAGCTATAAATACTAACAAGGCTTCTGAAAGATATATATTAAATGGAACTTTGTGATCAAACTCCAATCCCAGAAAGAGAAAGTGAAGGAGAAAGTGCTTAAAAGAATTAACCTACTTGGATTGCTTGGTGATTTTACCACTTTTGAGAATTATTTCTGATTAAAAGCACTTGGGTGGTTGTCTGGGAAAACTTTTTATAATGGCATTACTTGTGGATAGATTGAAACTTTTATATCAAAAATATGAAAAAGAAAAGCAAGAAGGGAAGGAGGTTTTTGATACTCTTTTTCAGTATTTAGAAATGGCGGTCTACACTTATGTAAAATTGAATGGACAACAGGACGACTGGGATAAAGAAGAAGCCATTTTTGATGAACAAGTGACTTTGGCTGGGGAAGGAAAGGAGAAAGAGAAAAAGGAAAAAGAGACTTTAAGACCTATAAAAGCAATCAAAAAAGAGAAAAACAAGATGAAAAAGAGATATTATGTTAGAAGACAACAGAAAGGAGGAAAGCAGAGAAAAAGGGAGGTGGAGAGGCAAAGGGGTAAAGAGGACAGAGAGAAGAATAAGCAAGGGAGAAAGGGGACGAGAAGCCTCAATAGTAGAGAGCAAGATGTAAAGAAACAAGAGTTTTTTAGAGATAATGGGTAAACTTTATTGATAAAGGGATTCTAAAGGTACATAAGATTGTTTTTTAAATTTGTATTTAGAAATAATTTTAGAAAGTTGGAAATAATGTGTAATTTAAAGTGTGATAAAAATTTTAATATAACTTAGTGAAATTTGTCTTAAGAAAAGGGGAACATTTCATGAAATAAGGATTTGAGATATGATGTGGGGGGGAGGAATAATTGTGGAAAATATAAGTATTCCCAAAAGGCATGTTATTTAATTGAAATGGATAAAATGGTTAAGATATAAAGGAGTTGGAGAGAAAGATACAAATGAATGTCAATATTAATTAGATTGTGTTATTTCAGTGGGAATTTTTTTTTTTTGAAAGGAGAGATTTGAAGTAGGAGAAGCAGGAATACCTTAATGAAATAATGATTTAAAATATGTGATGTGGGGGGGAATAATTATAGAAAGTAGGTGCTCCCACAAAAGTATGTTAATTAATTGAAAAGTAATGTGCTAAGTGTTTATGATATAAAAGAATATGAATATTAATGAATAGATTAGTATTGGTATTGATAATATTGTATAATTTTAGAATGTACCAAATAGAATCCCAATGTAAGTTAGGTATTTTATATTAAGTATTATAATTGTAGGGGAAAGAGGTAAAGGCGTCATACTCCAATTAGTGTACAGGAGAAGCTTTTTTTTTTAAAGAAGAAAGATAAATCGATAGCTGGATAAACAGACAAAGAATACTAAATACTATGATTTGAATTGAGATGAGATAAATAAAATAAAATTAAGAGAATCTAAGAGAGAGAAGAAGCTATATAAAAAATTGAAAATGGTAATTTATGGAATGGCATATAAAATGAATATGAATTTGAGTTGGTGTCTGTACAAAGAGTTTTGACCCGGGATTAAGCAACTTTCAGAAAAGATGTTTTTTTTAATGTTTATATGTTTTGTGTTCTTATGTGTTTATGTTTGAATGAGCTAATAAAACCTTGGAGAAAGGCTAGAAAAGGACAATGGAGAGAAAGATAGAAGAAAATAAAGCAAGTTAGAAAGGGAAAATATGTGATTGTAAGGAAATGTGTTAATGTTGTAAAACTTTCAAATAATTTTTAGAAATTTTTAGAAAAAAGGTTTTATGTTTATCTTGTATGTTTTGTATGCTTTTAAAAATTAATAAAATTTGTTTAAAAAAAAAGAATTAGTTAAGCAGATGTGTTTACCTTTCAGGCTTCCTTGGTACCTGCTATATTTTGAAGTTGCTCAGTTGGCCAGCTTGAAAGATGCTTGCATGGATCAGATTCTGAAGATGTATCTGCAAGCATTTGGTAAGAGAATCTACCTGAAAATAAACACCGACTGGAGAATTTAATTTCCTACTTGCTGGAGGACTAAGGTAGCTCAAAGAAGAGCTATAAAGTATTTATTTTTTCCTCCAGTGATGGCTGAGCTATTACATGTCTCACACCTACATAGACACATCTAACTTTCTTTGTCAGCATTATAAGGCATTTAGGGAAAACATTTGTGTATGCCTGTGTATCCTTCTGCCAAGCATCCTATAATTTTGGAGCTCATTGTTCTGTTATTTGTATGCTACTGTTATTAGAATGGCTTTGAGACTATTTAATCTGAATTTTCTATGCATGTGGGTGTCTCTCTGTGTGACAGCATTTATTGTATGATTGCAGACTACCCTTAGTGCAATTTCTGGAGGGAGAGGGAGAGCAGGAATATAAACAAACAAAAGTCTCCCAAACTCTCAATAATTTGTTTGTACCAAGCAGGGGCTTTTTATTGGATTATGTACAAGAGATACTTTTTAAAAAAGCAGAGCTTGTGTAGATAATACACAATACATGTACATATTTAACATGTCTGATTTGTGTAATTTAGATGACAGCCATGAGCAACCTGAGGGCTGGAAATGAAATGGGCCCTTCCCATCACCTACACAGTCTCAATAAATAGGCAGGGGTGGCAGGGGAGTGTGCTATTCACATAGAAGCCCTGGTATTGATCGTACTAGAGGAGGTTTTTCTGCCTTGCGCACCAGAATCACTTAATAGAAAAATAACAGAATAGCAGATTTCGAAGGGACCTTGTAAGTCTTCTAGTCCAACCCTCTGCTTAGGCAGGAAACCCTATACCAGGGGTGTCAAACACAAGGCCCGTGGGCCAAATCTGGCCTGCGATGTGGTTGGATCCAGCCCACAGGGCTGTCCTGGAAAATGTAAGGGGCTGGCCCATGTGGCTTTGGCCCAGTCTACCCAGTGAGAAGAGGAAACATGCCAGCAGTTTGGGGAATGGCATCAAGCTGGCCACACCCACTCAGTCGACCACACCCACCCAGTTGGCCATGCCCGCCCAGCCCCCTGAGGTCATCCACAGCCCTGATGCGGCACTCAATGAAATTGAGTTTGACACCCTTGCCCTGTACTATTTCAGACAAATGGTTGTCCAATCTCTTCTTAAAAACCTACAGTGATGGAGCACCCACAACTTCTGGAATCAAGTTATTCCACTGATTGATTGTTCTCACTGTCAGGAAATTTTTTCTTAATTCCAGGTTGTGTTGTAGTTAGCCGGCTGCAAGTGCGGATGGCTGAGGAGAGCAAGGACTCAGATGTGGGGCCAGGACCATTAGGAAGTGGACTGCTGCCTTCAGAGATTGTGAGGGCTGGCAGCAGTGATGAGGAGGTTCCCGAGGAGCCTGTGCCAAGTGCGCATGCATGCAGGATTGCTCACAGGAAAGAGCAGCTGCAACAGCATGGGCGACTCGGGAGTAAGGCTGCAAGGTAATGGCCCCTCCTTCAAGAAGATAAAAGCCAGCTGTGAAGCGAACGTTCTTTGCAGGAAGCAAAGACATTTTGAAACTCAGCCTTGTGGGCATTACAGTATCTTAAGTTGGTATTTGAAGACTCTTGTATTGTGAAATATTTCTTATTTGTGATTCTTGGCAGTCTCGCACAGTTTTGGCGAGGTTTGTGCTTATCAAGGTCAATTAGTGTGCAGCAGCCTTTTAACTGGGGATTCATAAAACTCCTTAAAAGGTTTCTGCTCCCTTTGGTTATTATTTGTTTTATTGGGAAAGGGTTTGGGTCAGAACAGGTTACTTTTCTCCTTGATTAGTTTCCATCTATTGCTTCTTGTCCTGCCTTCAGGTGCTTTGGATAATAGCTTGACTCTCTCTTCTTTATAGCAACCCCTTAAATACTTGATAGTGAGATGATGGCAAATAAATGTAAATGTGAATGTAAATATAAATATAAATCAAAGCATGGTGAAACCACCCCTTCTGTGTAGCATAGGCCTACTTCTGATCCCCAATTTTTGCAGCTTTGTTAATCATTAGAATTCAACATTAACTACCTACTTGCACTAAATGCTGACCATGAATTTGTAACATTAAGCGATATGTAAGACTATTTGTATGCATGTTTTGTTTCCCTTGCAATGATTGTTTAATTCCTGAGGTGACTTAAATGCCTATACACCAATGCACAAAGTATGAGCAATAAACAACATGAACTACAAATCCGAGTATATGAGGGCAGATATGATATTGTTGCCATTACAGAAACTTGGTGGGATGAAACCCATGAATGGAATATACTGCTAGAGGGATTTAAATTGTTTAAAAGAAACAGACCTAATAAAAGAGGAGGTGGAGCTGCACTAAATATAAGAAATAACTCTGCATTTACAGAAATGAAAGAAATCAATGCTGGAAACTGTCTTGAATGAATTTGGGTCAATATAAAAGGCGGGGGGAAGAATGGCATTGCCATAGGTATATACTACAGGTTACCCAACCAAACAGAGGAAATAGGTGAACGTTTTGCTAATCAGTTAACTAAGGTATGTAGGAAGCACACCACAATAGTAATGGGAGATCTAACTACCCTGATATCAAATAGGAAACAAACTCTATACCCAGTGGAAGATCCAACAGGTTCCTGACAAATCTAGCAGGCAACTTTCTCTCCCAAAATGTAGAGAAGGGAACTAGTGGGTCAACCATACTGGACTTAATATTCACCAACAGAAATGAAATGATAAAAGACATTGAAATGACAGGAACCTTTGGGGTAGAGGGTGGGGAGTGACCATGCAATATTGGAATTCAAATTTATGCAAGCACAAACAATAGAACAAAGTCAAACTAGAGTCTTGGACTTTAAGAGAGCTGATTTCAATAAATTTAGAGAGACCTTGGGAAGGATTCCATGGATGAGAATTCTCAAGGGGAAAACAACCCAAGAAGGTTTGGAAACTTTGAAAAGTGAGATTATAAAAGCCCAACAAAGAAGAAAAATAAGAAACCTCAAAAGAGACCAGTATGGCTACACAAAGAACCTTCTGATAAAATGAAAGACAAAAAGAACTATAAAAAGTGGAAAGATGGGCACATAACTAAGGCAGAATATCAACAAATAGCCTGAGTTTGGAAAGATGAAGTCAGGAAAGCTAAGGTTCAAAACCAACTTGCGATAAAAATAACCCACCCACCCCACCCACCCCAAAAAAGCTGCTTTCAAACATGTAAAAAACAAGGAAAAAGTCAAGGAAATGATTGGTTCATTAATAGGAGAAAATGGCAAGAAGGTGATGAGCAACAGGGAGAAAGCATAACTGCTTAGCTCATTTTTTTTTGCATCTGTCTTTACACAAAAAGAAAAGAAGTCCAACCTATCCAAAACAGTCCCATAAAAGTCAGATTGGGAATAAAAGTAAAAATAGACAGGAGATTGGTAAGAGACTATCTATCCATTCTAGATGAGTTCAAATCACCAGGATCAGATGGATTATACTCAAAGATTCTGAAGGATCTGGCACATGTGATTTCAGAACTACTGGACAATATCTTTCAAAGATCTGGGAGCACCAGGAACTACCAGATGACTGGAAAAAGGTTGATGTCTTCAAAAAAGGTAGATCCAAGAAAGTCAAAGCTATCAGCCTGACATCAATACCTGGGAAGAGTCTGGAAAAGAAAATCAAGCAATAAATCTGTGAACATCTAGAAATAAACAAAGTCACAACTTAGAAACTAACATGAATTTGTGAAAAATAGATCATGCCAGAAAAATCTTTGACAATGTCACAAAATTAGTGGATCAGAGAAATGCCATGGATATCATTTATTTGGACTTCAGGCATTTGATAAAGTAAACCACAACCTACTACTTGATAAGATAGAAAAATGTGTGTTAGACAGCATCATCACCTGATGGAAGTGACTGATCAACTGCACTCAACATGTAAATGGAACTGCATCTACATGGAGGGAAGTATGCAGTAGGATACCCCAAGGCTCAGTCTTAGGTCCAGTACTCTTCAATATCTTCATCAAACATTTAGATGATGGGATAGAAGGGAAACTCATCAAATTTGTACACAACATCAAGCTGGCAGGAAAAGACAACAGAAAATAGGCTCAATATACAGAAGGTTCTTGACAAACTTGAACACTGGGTCCTATCTAATAAAATGAAATTCAGTGGTGAGAAAAGTAAGGTTCTACATTTAAGCAAGAAAAACCAAATGCATAGATATAAAATCGGTGATACCTGGCTCAACAGTAGTAACTGCAAGAGGGATCTTGGTGTCCTAGTGGACAATCACTTGAATACGAGCCAGCAGCGTACTGCAGGTGCCAAAAAAGCCAACACAAACCTAGACTGCACTAACAGGGATAAAATCAAGATCACATGAAGTATTAGTATCACTTTATAAGGCCTTGGTAAGGCCAAACTTGGAATGTTGCATCCTGTTTTGGTCACCATGATATAAAAAAGATGTTGAGACTCTAGAAAGAGTGCAGAGAAGAGCAACAAGATGATAAGGGAACTGGAAGATAAAACATATGATGAATGGTTACAGGAATTGGGTGTGTCTATTTAATGAAAAGAAGGACTAGGGGCAGTGGTGGGATTCATTTTTTTTTACTACCGGTTCTGTGGGCGTGGCATGATGGGTGTGGCAGGGGAAGGATACTGTAAAATCTCCAGTCAGGGATGGTATCTGCTGGTTCTCTGAACTACTCAAAATTTCCACTACCAGTTCTCCAGAACTGGTCAGAACCTGCTGAATACCCACCTCTGACTAGGGGTGACATAATAGCAGTGTTCCAATATCTAAGGGGCTGCCACAAAGAAGAGGGAGTCGAGCTATTCTACAAAGCACCTGAGGGCAGGACAAACTCTGAAGCAATGGATAGAAACTAATCAAGGAGAGAACTATTCTAGAATTAAGGCTGAATTTCCATTGACAACTAATCAGTGGAATGACTTGCCTCCAGAAGTTGTGGATGATCCAACACTGGAGGATTTCAAGAATTGATTGGACAACCATTTATCTGAAATGCTATAGGGTTTCCTGCCTGAGCAGGGGGTTGGACTAGAAGACCTCCAAGGTCCCTTCCAACTTGCTTTCTGTTCTGTTAGCCTTTCTGACTGTAGGTCTGCCTCCTTATTGCCTTCTCTCTTCCCTGATTGAAGGAAAAACAAGAATTTTCAGGGGAAGCTTTCTCCTTCCTATATGTCAGCGACCTCAAAGGGTATTTCCCTCTGAGCATCTAAATCACTTTTTATGGAATTTAGTCAACCTGGAAACTAAAAAACTTATGACATATCGATCAAAAGCCTTGAACTGCATCACTTCCTAATTCCATTCACATCACTTCCTAATTCTTTCATGTTCTGAAAATGGAACACAAAATTCTTCTGAACAACTCAACATGAGATTTCACATCAGTCTACCACCTTCTGGAACTATTCAACCAAGTAAAAACTGAATCATTGAGGAAGGGGAAAAAAACATAGAAGTAATCCAGAATGAAAGTGTTAGCAAGGCTTTTGAAAGCTGCTATTAGAATTAGCAGGGTCACATTCCCTCTAATTTCATTCTACTAACCCTCTACAGTACCAGCAAGAAGAAGAAAGTTTCCAGGCAACACTCAAGAAGTACAACCATATAATCCATTTCACTCAAGGGTGGAACTATGACTCAAGTGAGCACTTTAGCTACCAGTAAGCTATATCAAAACTTATTCTTCACACACACACACCCAACATATGGCATATGTGACAGCATTATCCATAATTATCTAGTAGAGATTTCTTTAGGATCAGACAGTATTCTTCCTCCCAGTATCCATGTAAGAAGAGTAAAAATAGGCTTCATCAACAGCCCTTCACAAATTAAGGCAAATAAGACATAAGTAAACTTGATAAAGTTCAGCCACCAAAATCAGACTGCTGCCTTTGTTTGAGACTGTTTTGTTTTACTTATACATTGGATTTGTTAAGGCCATCTAACTCCAGACAGCCTCTAGATCAGGGTTTTTCAATCTTGGCAGGTTTAAGATCACATTGGCTGGGGAATTCTTGGAACTGAAGTCCATACATCTTAAAATTGCCAAGGTTGAGAAACACGGCTGTAGGTGGCTTACAATATGTCCAATACCTAAGTTAAAACACACACTAAAACAATATGATTTCCCAGAATCAAATAACTTCTTAAACATTTAAAAAAATAT